GAGAATTTGGTTTCCATTCGCATAATGTGAGTTCCACGCAAGAATTAGAACGGATTTTTGGCACGTTGTCGAAAGATGCGGCCAGTTATCAAATATACAATAGACAGGGACAACAGTATGTACAATTCAGAGCGAGATTCAGGACATCTGCCGATAGAAAGGAATATATAGAATTCCAAGACGGTTCGATGTTTCCCCTTCAAGATCGTTACGGTAGGCAAAGCTACATCTCAGAATCCACGGAACCTCGCGACAGTCGATTCCTCAGAATAGAAGGTCAGCTACTTATCACTTCAGACGGCAAAGGTTATATCGTATTAAAGGATGGTCGAAGATTCCCTCTTCAAGGTTCGTTTACGTATACCGAGGAAAGAACATATACTTTACGTCGTCCGCAAGATCAAGGTGGCTATCAAGATGGCGATGCTGATAGTCAAGGTCAGGGAACTTACAGTCAATCTTGGCACGAGGAATCATCCAATCGCGGTGTAACTTCGGATGGAGGCTATGAAAGTAAATATAATACTCGTACACACGAAGAAAGACGAACAGAAGAGAGAACGAGTAACACTAGAGTCTATGGAAGAAACCGTGATCGATTTGACGATGAGTTTCTCACCGAAACACCGAAGCCTAATTTTCCGAGTTCGAGGTACAGGCGCGAAAGCGACATGATCGATGTTGAGGAGTTCAAGAAGTTCGAACTGTTTCATAGACATCGACGGGATCTCGAGACGGATGCAACTGAATTTCCCACGGATGCAACTGAATTCCAAGATGACGATTATTACGAGAACGATCCTGAATCGGAAGAACCGGTACAGCCGTGTGACTCGGCGAAATGTGTTACGCTGCGATGCGTGCTAGGCCCGTTGAAGAAAGATCAAGAAGTCTGGATCGCTGCGAGATATCGCGTGGACGCTAGGACTTTGAAGGAAGTAGCGCTTAAGGAGAAAGTCAAAGTGTCATCGAAGCTGGTAGCGCGGGTCACGAAACAACCATTCATCGGTACGCCTGCCGAACAAGTCGTCAGGAGCGACGAAGTTATCACGAACATCGAACCCAGTGCGCCGCCTTCTGCTCCGGATATCATTCCAATATGGGTAGTCGTTCTGTCGGCCTGTGCAGGAATGATAATTCTCTTGCTGCTCATTTATTTGCTTCATAAGGTTGGTCCACAAATGATAATATAGAGAAAAGCACTAATAGTGCTTTTACTCGAGGATCCAAATTTATCCAAATAATTTGTCATTTCTTTTGTAAATATTGATTTAATTTCCAGTAATTTGATAATAATAATATTAGGATCGGGATCAATGATAAATTTTATTTATCTATTTCAGTGTGGTTTCTTCAAGAGAAACAGGCCCTCCGACGCTCCAGAAAGGCAACCATTGAATCGAAACGGTCACTTCCAACAAGGCGAAGATCACTAAGTGATCAGTCCTGTCGATTTTTGTTTTATTGAAATTTTCGATTTTCCGTCTATATCGAAATCAAATCATTGATAAATTAAAACTCTTGATTACACAATCGAATCGCGAAAAACGCTTTGGTAATTTTGTAGGTAATTGAGGGAATTGGGCATTGCGTGGATTTGGTGTAGTCTATAGAGTTTCGATTTCTGCCGAATATCTTACTAATTTCAATAGTGCCTTAATTCGCGTCTAGGCAAGATGAACATCTGCCGAGATGCATTCAAATATTGATTTTGAGTGCATCGATCCGTCACTCGTATACTGCCCTCAATACTCCTTCCAGCTCCTGCAGCTCGACCACGCAAGTTTCTAGTCAGGAGACGTTCTTCTTTTTTTTTATTATTATTATATGTAATTACTTAAGCCGCGCGTACAGTCGGCAGATACGAACGAATATCTCGACATTCTTCGACGAATCGTACCTTCGTGTATATAAATATATTATATATATATATATATATATATATATATATATATATATGTGTATTTTTACCGTCATGCGCGGTAAAATGCCTTGATACGTGCCTCATCGCTTTTGTCTGTACTTTTAACGTATTAGATTACTAATATTTTTTTTACGCGTTTGATCGGATTCGAATTCTAAAATCACATCTTGTCGAAGATCTTTTTTAGCGAAGCTTATTCAATACTGAAAACATCAATGAAATTCCTTTCACACGAGTATTCAATATTCTGTGGCTGGATATTGCATCTTAAATCACGTCGTAGATAATATTTTAGATATCTTTTAGATATTTTCTGCAATCTTCTATTGCTTGAATGATGCATTGGTAACAGCATTTCGAATGTAACTCGTTTGAAAGGAATGTATGTGTCTTCCTGAAGAACGATCTTGAAAGCGCACAATCGCTTTTTTATTATTTTTGATTATTTATTAAATTTTTATATTATATATGTAATACCGTAACGTATGCTTGAGCGTCGTAACAATAGCGTGATGAGCTGTCACGCATGCAAGGTGAATGTGTGTACAATCTGTAAATTATTAATTTTACGTTACTAAAACCGCCCACGAAAAGTGGTTTAACGCAATAATGTTCAATTAGAAAGAATTTATATCTTTTTGGTATAAATAGGAAGCTAGAAATGACTTGTATATACAATTAAGACATAATATTAAACAATATATATATATATATATATATATATAGGTATATAATGCAATTAATACTATTTTGCGTATATTTTGCATATAGTTAATATCTCTTCTAATTAAAGTAGCTCGGACTACAACTGAAAAAAAGAAAAATTACATCGGATGAATTTGTACAATCATTTATTGTAAAATTACAATGACGTTTAACAGCGGTTGGCATAAAACAAATATGTATATGTTTGATTACCATCAATGTGTACCGTTTGTGCTATTTACCGATCGCATTGACCATTTCCGCTGAAACCAGTGTATAAGTCATATATGTGATTATATAACAAATTATAAGAAAATTTCTCCGGATATAAAAAAATATATGCTTCATTAATATCGTCTTTTTTTTTTAATATTTTGGACAGTATCCTTTATATTTTTTTATTGTTAAAAATGTATATAAAAATAATTTGTAATGCATACAGTTGTCAGTTTGTAAAATACACTACCATATCTTCGTTAATAGACTTTTTTTTGCTTTTCCAAATGGGTCAGTTTCGAGAAATGGCAATGAATAACAATTACCTGCTGATCTACTGACTGCAAATGTGAATGATATTTATGCAAATGTTAAATTGTATATGTATTTGTGATTAAGGAAATTAAAAAGTCCATGAAATATTTTATAAAAGAAAACTTGACTTCACAAAATCGTACAAAAGTTGAGATGCGCTAGAGAAAATACGTATAAAAGAAAACAATGAGATATTATGTACTTAGGATACATAATTCAATTATTGCTATTGTGTTATAACTATTTACGTATACAATCGTTTGATGGATCAAGATGGATATATATTATTTGGGCTATAATATGAACCATGAAAAATTGAAGTGAACATTGATATTCTGTCGGGCAGTGCGAGATCATTACTGCTCCCCAAAACGTCAATATGTTCAGACAATATATACAAATTCACAAATACTTAATTTCTATTTCACGATCAACAATTTTCTTATTCAATCTTTTTTAACGGGTTATATGCGAGCGAGACAAGATAATGACAAAAATCTATGATTTCGAACGTGATACATTTGATGTTACAATGATCTAACACACGAATGAAAACAATATTAAACGATTATCAATGTTCTTAAATTTGTTTCAAGTAAATTGTTTCAAGTAAAGATGATCTTGATATAATCAAGTTCAAAAGATTACTGGCTGATCTTGAAAGGTGATGATTTTGTTCTCCTTAGAATTACTTATCACTAGATTAATAAAAAAAAGTTATAAAAAAATGATTTCTTTGATACATAGAAGAGATTATGACAGTAAATAACATTGTGTCTAAATTGCATATTTCCGTCGGTAAAAATGTTTCAGACAAAAGTTGTATGATTTGAACGGAGACAAATGATGACAAGTTTCAAAAATATTGATTTTTCAAAATTATATGAGTCACCTCCACTCTTTTAAGTAGAATAATATTTTTTTTAATATAATAATTCCTCTAGTTATTCTGCATATAAAAATATTAAAATAAAAGTAAATCGCAAAATCAATAGTTACGATACTTATTTTATTCTAATATATAATATAAAAATATCTTGTAAAGTCTTGATTTTTCGATATCTTTATCTTAATACTTTTATATGTAGAATAATTATATAGAAAAATAACATTATTCCATTTAAAAAAGTAAAAGTAATCTTCATACCTTGAAAAATTGATATTTTTGAAAATTGATTTTCATCAATTGTTCCCCTTCAAATCATACTTTTGTCTGGAACATTTTTGCCCATCGGATTTAATTTTCGAAATATTCCGATGTTTTGTTTCAGATGTCCCACCTTATATTAAAATAAAAAAAATTGTTTTAAAACAAATCAAAGTCATCATCAAAATCAGTTGAAAGTAGTCTTCTGATCTTGACTGTGTAAAGGTCCGTATTTACTTTTTTTTCAACTTCATAACATTATAATCCCGAAAAATTCTCTCTAATAATATTATGTATGTGTTGAATAAATCTGATCTTTATGGAAAAGTATATGAATTTATCTTTGAAATTGGACTAAACATCGATACTATCGATAAACGCGAATGGCGCCAGCTAGGTAAAAGTGTTACCTCTTGAACAATGTCAGATAACGGACATATGAACATTCATATCATCTAATCTTCATTGTCACTATCGATTTCATCTATGTCGTTATATATATTATCCTCGTATCAGCTATCAGAAACCTAAAATTAGATAATATTTAAAGAAATGAATTTAAGATATGATAAAAGATGACATTTAATAACATTAATAAAATTCTTACTTTCCACTGTAATTGACTACCCACTTCATAAAGCTCTTTTAGCGTTTCTGTTAATGTGCCGGAACTTTCCAATTCCTTATATTTGCGATATAATTCTAAAGCTGCTCGTGCATCTTCGGCCGAATCGTGAGTTTCAGATTGAATATTCTTACCCAAAAAGTGCCAAGTCAAGAAGCGTAACGATACCATACGATGATGCGGCAAATGAAATAACAAAACTGTATCTACTATTTGTTCCGGTGGCACTACCAAATTTATAACCCTATAGAATTTACACATTTAAACAAAAAAATCTCGTTAATGAGATGAATTTACTGTTGTACATATCAAATGGGATTTTACCTAAAATCATTTTTCAAGCCATGTCCGACGAAGATTATGCCGTTATCCACTAAAAATCGCAACTTTTGATACGTTGATTTCAGAGTTGTAAGATGTTTGCTGCTAAAATTCGCATCTAAATCACCTGGTTGGATTCCACTGAATTTTGTTAGATAATCAACTACCTGTTCCTGAGTGCTTATGTAATCGTCTATAAACGGTGTACCTTCTAACGGACCTTGCCTACTCATTAAAAAAGAGGAAAATAAATCTCAAATAATGCTCATATTATCGCATTTTTGACTTAATCAAATTAAAATCTTTTTTATACAATAGCTCATACTGTGATATTATAACTTATACAAATATCATACCCGCGTATGCAGGTGATTCGCGCAACAGACATATGGCTCGGTTTTATAGTTGACATTTTTCCATCGCTCCGTAGTTCGGATTCTTCCTGATTTAATGTAACAAATTCTGCATCGATCCCTACCAATTCACCTACAATTCGAACATGTTAACGAAAATATTAAAAAAATCACAAGTTAAAGTTATACAACAATTTAAAATTCAGTAAGAAATTATAGAAAGAGATTGTGCAAACCACCTTTCTTGGGCATTTCGTCTGATGATAGAGGAGTAAACGTAATGCCTCTAGTTCCGCCACTGCGAGCGATACATTTGTCTTCTCCGAACACATCATACGTGAGAGGACTGACAAATTGTGTCGGTTCGGGTGCAGGTATCGCTGTGTAATGAAGCACACACGGTACTTTCCAATCGAGATTAAACCACACCGCTTCCTGCGGTGTCACCGGCGATATGCTGCAATATCAAGGATCGCGTTAATAATTAATGATATTATACGGAATGTTCTTTTTCGGATACTAAAAGACTCACCAGAAATCATTGAAAATGTACCACTGCGATACGGCATTGCCTGCCGATCGTTCGTGATAATTCGGCCCAACTCGTAACAGTGCTACGATATTCCTCCGTTCCTCGTTATTTTTATCGTCTATATAACAAACAACGGCACTGAGACCGTACTGTATTTTTTGAGTATTACCAAAAATTTCCGCATTTGTACTTTTTGCCTCGCCATCTTCCGCATTCGATACTTTGCTATAATTTTCAACATTCCTTTCACTGTTGATTCCAATGTTTTCGGGAACTATTTGTACCGTTTTGTCATCTTGACCATTCTCTATCACGTTCGTTTGTGCGGACACATCGTTACTCGACTCGTTTTTTGGTTCGGTAATTTTTTTAACTGACAACTCTTCATTTTCTTCGAGGGAAATTTCTATATTGTGAGGTATCCAAGAATGCATGTAATATAAGTGACTAGGGGGCGATGTAACGGGCGCCGTCGATGAGGTAGATGGAGTAGAGGACGATGTAAGTAATTTTTCTGTTTCTGCATGATATGATTATGATTAGTGTTAATTCAAAGTATATAATTTGTACAATGAAATATTTGTATACCTGAATCACGGCCAACGTGCCTGAATCGACATCCAGTCCGCGTGCAATTATTGCCATATCGACACGGCTTTGCAGTGACAGGTACAGGACTGGAGCTAGGACTGCTCTCTTTTCCTGACAACACGTTTTGCACCACAATGTCCATTTGATTTTGCCAAAACGTCTTATCCTGCAATAATTCGAGCATATGATTTTGGATGAATGGGGCAAAGCGTGCAGCTTTCGTGTTTTGATTTTGTGCACATCATAAATCTAATCTCTGTCTAATCTATGTCTAATCTATGTCTATCTATTGTAAGTACCTGTTGAGTATTTAAGCCGCAGTTTAGTGCTAGTATTTGAGGTAATTTAGTCAATTGTCGAGACTGAAGAGTAGGTGTAAATTTTTGGCAATTATCACACCATGCGGGTGTAATTTTCTCAGGTCTTAAACTGCGGGCAAGAACACTTGTGAACGGTACCTCTTCAGCTACAAAAGGTAAATCTTGTATTCAGCCACAAGTACAAATCTATACGTTAAAGTTGCACGAAAAATCAGTTGAGCGTGTAAAATGTTCGAAACTTATCTTGAATTTTTATGTATATATATCATAATCTCTCTGTGTCTCTCTGTGATCTTGGATACTTAAAAAATGTAAAAATTATATAATTATACTGCACATGACTATACTGCATAACATTTTTTTTATATCTCTTTCCTTTGAATATTCGGATGTTTGAATACATGCAACCAAAGTTTCAATCATTTTACGTGCTAAATTCATTTTTCATTGAGCGGACCTTGGAAGGCATATTATTTGATAATAGCTTACAAGGATTAATTATTTCCGGATAAACTAAGTTACAAAGCAACATGATGGAATGTTTGGTAGCTTCTTGCCCACATTTGAGACAGCGATGTATATGCATTTGTTCAGATCCAAATAGACGACTGATCTCTGTTTCATCATCTCGTACTTCATTTTCTTCGGTGGATTTTTTGGTGTTTTTATCTATCCGTAATAAATTTGTATTTAAGAATCAAATAAATAAATGTTATTAACTATATCACAATTGTATAAAACAATTATTATTAAACGAGATACGTTTGTAGCATTTCTATGATAGTATCTAGCAAGGGCGTTTATAATCTTTGATATTTTTTAATATTATAGTTAAATATTCATATTTATATATCAAACTTAAGAGAGTATGCAATCTTGATTTTTTTCTGAAGTAAGCAATAATATTAGCAAATTAAGCAAAATTAAGCATCATCAAGATGATTTTGAGATTCTCTATTAAATAATTTG